TAAAATTTAATTGAATTTAATTGAATTTCTATTTTATAAATTTTAAATTTAATTTTATCAATTTAACATTTCATTTTATCAAATTGACACCTAATTAATATTTAACTTTATCAAGTTAACATTAAATTAACATTATATTTCATCAATTTAATTCATGAAATTAACATAAAATTAACAATCGATTTAATCAATTTAACATTTAATTTTTTTAATTTAAAATTTAATTCATCAAATTAACACCAAATTGATATTACATGATATCACTTTAAAAATCAATTTCATCAAATTGACAAAAATTTTATATTCAATTTCATCAATTCAGTTAGCGACTAGATTGTACATGCTATAACAATTTGGATTGAAAATTGAAGATGTGGTGATAATTTAAGTTGTCTTGTTTTTCTTTTTTTTTTTTTTTGGGGGGGGGGGGGGTGGTGTTGGTCGCTATTTTGAACAATTAATTATTTTTAGTATATCTAGTTTGTCAATTATAAGTACTCGTGGTTATGGAATTAATTATATTAACTATTAAAATAAAATGACTATTATTTTGGTAAGTAATAAATTAGATTCACTTCAATTTAAAAGTAAATTTGCTTTAGTTTTTACAAATGATTAAGATCAAGGATAAATTTGAAAGAAATTTAATTCAATCAAGGATAAATAACTAAATTTGATATATGTTACATTATATTGGTAAATATATGAATTTGGTAAGGGCATTAAAGTAAAACCATCACTTCTGTTAGTCTCGTTTGGGGACAAATACTGATAAAAGGTGTTGGTGAAATTTCAAAAAAAGATAAAAGATATCTTTGAATTTAGGCCTATCTACAGTATGTCTTTGAATTGGGACCAGAAGATCTAATAATGACCATCGAATTTATTGTCATCGCTGAATTAGGATTGAGTTTAGCATTGAATATAGTCCACTATCAATCAATGACCACGGTGAACTATGACTTACAAAAATCATGATACTCTCCAATTCATGTTTACTCTGTTTCAGTAAAAGGTTGGCCACAGGAAAAGTATAGTGAAAAGATCTCAATCCCCAAATTAGATACAAATAATTTAGCCCAAAATCTGTGAATTCAACATTGGTTGAATAGCCATTTACTTTTTTAATTAGTCACTTTTATGCAAAGACTTTTCGTTTATAATATATTTTTGCTTGGGGTGAATATTCAAAATAGCAATAATACCACGTATCGATGATAGAAATTACCAATAATTTTGTAACAAAATTTTTTATGAATATAAATAATTATTCAATTGTGTTGGATGTACTTTTGAGATGGTTAATTACACGCCTAGGTTGTAGCTACTATCTTCAAATATGTAATGCTTATTGTTAATAGCAATCCTACTTAGACCCTAGTTTATTAATTTTATTTGTTGATTTAATTATTTATAACTATTATATTGACAGTAGACTCTAGTATTTATTGAGATTCACAATCAATCTTATTGTTGTGATGGATTTAATTAACAAATTAAGTCAAAATAATATTATTATATTGTTAAATGGTGAGAAAATTAATCAAGGTGCACATAAACTGATTTGAACACTCCTAACTTTTTGACAAAAAAAAAAAATTGTGTAACCCGTTATACAATATAAACTTAATTGTGTAAAAGTTCTTCAGATAAAACTATTTATAGAGAAGTCTTTTTTATTTGTGAATGTCAAATATACCCAAGTGTAAGTATTAACCGGCACAATCTCATGGGTTTGGAAACATCCAGAAATCAAACAACATTCCTATAAAATCCAGCCAATAAGAGATCGCTTAAAGTAGGATATTTGAAATTCAAACAAAAACTGTCATAAAAATATATCAAATTTCAACCAAATCAAAAATACAAAGACAAACAACCCAAAATTGTGAGAACAAAAAAATCCTCCACTTTCAGTCAATACTACATATGTTGGAGTATTATTGAAGTCTGAACAGTCAACTTTTTCAACTATAATCGTCAACAATATCAAGATAAATTAAATATAGATTGATAAAATTATGTCACCACAGGTGTGTGAATAAAATGACTATGTGATACACACAATGATTCATATGAATCAATGTGACATTGCAGTTACACATCACAGTGTAATAACTTAATTAACACTTTAAGTATGGACAAAAGATGTGCAATTACGTTATTTGATTCTTCCATAATCTAAATGGTATGCATCACACAGTGACATCACATTATTACAAACATTTCGTTTTACCAATAATGTTGGAATCAAGAAATGTAATTGCACATTCTTTTTCACAATGTGACAAATAAAATAGTGTCTATTGTGTTATTACATTGTGATGAAATATTGTCGTTCCTTAAAAATAATATATGTGTTTGTCAGATTATAGATGTCACATTGTGTAAAAACGCAAACTTGTCATCCCAAATTATCAATGATTTCCTCAAAATCATTTTTTTCAAAACTACGCATGAAATATGTAATTTGTGTGTGAACAAAATCTATAGATATCTTTTTCAAATTTCAAATCATTTATGCTAAAATCATGCAAACTTTGACCGTTTTTGGTAAAGACGTGATCATCGTTGTATTCACTATATAGTAATACTAGATTGACCAAATTTTGAGACCAAATTTAGAGCTCAAATGACACGGCAGTTGACTTGGACTTCTTTGATTGGTATTATATCATTTGGGCCCCAATAAAAATTTCAAATAATCAACTGTCATGTCATTTGAACTCCAAATTTTGGTCAGTCTAACATTACTCTTCATAATAGAAAATACAAACATGTGATTGAGATCTTCTCTCATCAAATGAGATAATTAAGGGAAACAATTTTCAGCTATTTAATGGAGAGATTTTATGCCAAAGTTTACATATAATAGAGTGGAAGAGATTTCTACATAAAGTCAATTACATACAAACGTAAGGAAGAGAAATTATAAATATGTGAGAGAGATTTTAAGAAAGAGAATCAACTAAAATAAGAAACCGTTAATTTTTTTTTTTGAAAATAAGAAACTGTTAATTTAATAAAAAAATCCCATGAAAAAAAAAACTGTGAAACTAAATAGTCCATGAATCATGGAAAATTGTATTTTAGTAAAAAAAATTTAAAAATTTTCATCATATATCTAAACACAATACTTTTCCAACTGATAGTACTTATTTACAATACATTTTTGGCAAAAATATTTTTTTTATAAATAAATAATTTATATCGTACGTTTCTACAATGTTCCTTAAAAAAAAAATGGTGACACCACATGAGACGTGTCTTCTAAGCCTTCAGGCTAGCTTGGGGCAAGATTAGTTTGCGCACATTAATGTGGAAGCCCAATTTTGAGTCCAAAACTTGTAGCCCGTTCAAAGAAGAGAGTCGCTGGGCCCTGATTGCAAGGGATGGACCCAATCAGCATCCTACAACTACAAGAGATCTTTTGATTTTTTTTAGATCCACTAAAAAATATCATAGACTTAAAAAAACAAATATTATATTTGCTTGGATAAACTCGACTCTACCATACTGTGTGAGAGCCACAAAATAAGTATAATATCTTGTGAATTTCCTCTTTTACGTCTATTTAAATTAATTAAATTTTAACTCATTTATATTAAACAAAAATTAAATTTCTCACCTTATTTTGTAAACAAATTATTTCATTTCCTAATAATAATAATGTGCTCGACTCAAATAAGTTTGAAACGAACCGAATATGTTTTCATCTATTAAAATTTAAATTTTATTATTAAAAAATTCAAAGATGAACAACCATATATCGAACCAAAATTGTTGAACACTTTGTACACTTTCTTCTCACTCACTCTGTTTTTGGTACGATCCACTTTCACATGTTTAACACAAACATTCATTCCATTCATTTTCTCATAATATACTTGTTGGAGTAGAACATTCAAACAAAAAACAGCAATATTAATAGAAGAAAACTCCATGACATACGACTCAATTAATTAACTTTCAAGTGAGGATCTAGCTCAATTCTAGCCACCCCTTCTTTAACAACCTTAGGGACCTCAACCTCACCAACCACCAACTCACCCACTTCATCATCATCCTCTCCCTTCGCCAACTTTTCCTCCACTTCTTCATCTACATAATTTGGATCATTCTCATCAATTGCTGGTGGTGCCGTCTCAATCTCTATCTCAACCTCGTCCGTAGGGCCTTCCCTCGTGTATTTGCCACCATGGCCCTTCTTCGGATCATGCTTGAGTGGAAGCCCATCAGCTGGATGACGCTCCAGTCTCTTCACGCCTTTGTCGATCAATTTTTTCTCTATGTATTTGACGGTGTGTGGGTAACGAGCCTTCACTTCTGCATTTTCGATGTGGTGCTTTTCGTCTTCTTTAACTCGACATAAATTTTTGACAGTCACAGTTTCATTTTGCTCATTTGTACTCTCCATGTTCATCTGATTCTTGAGCCCAAGCCTGTGTTGCAAGGTGAATTGTAATGGCAGTAAAGGGATGAGGGTGAGTGTGTAAATATATATTAGGGATTGGAAGGTACCCGAAGNATTAGTTTGCGCACATTAATGTGGAAGCCCAATTTTGAGTCCAAAACTTGTAGCCCGTTCAAAGAAGAGAGTCGCTGGGCCCTGATTGCAAGGGATGGACCCAATCAGCATCCTACAACTACAAGAGATCTTTTGATTTTTTTTAGATCCACTAAAAAATATCATAGACTTAAAAAAACAAATATTATATTTGCTTGGATAAACTCGACTCTACCATACTGTGTGAGAGCCACAAAATAAGTATAATATCTTGTGAATTTCCTCTTTTACGTCTATTTAAATTAATTAAATTTTAACTCATTTATATTAAACAAAAATTAAATTTCTCACCTTATTTTGTAAACAAATTATTTCATTTCCTAATAATAATAATGTGCTCGACTCAAATAAGTTTGAAACGAACCGAATATGTTTTCATCTATTAAAATTTAAATTTTATTATTAAAAAATTCAAAGATGAACAACCATATATCGAACCAAAATTGTTGAACACTTTGTACACTTTCTTCTCACTCACTCTGTTTTTGGTACGATCCACTTTCACATGTTTAACACAAACATTCATTCCATTCATTTTCTCATAATATACTTGTTGGAGTAGAACATTCAAACAAAAAACAGCAATATTAATAGAAGAAAACTCCATGACATACGACTCAATTAATTAACTTTCAAGTGAGGATCTAGCTCAATTCTAGCCACCCCTTCTTTAACAACCTTAGGGACCTCAACCTCACCAACCACCAACTCACCCACTTCATCATCATCCTCTCCCTTCGCCAACTTTTCCTCCACTTCTTCATCTACATAATTTGGATCATTCTCATCAATTGCTGGTGGTGCCGTCTCAATCTCTATCTCAACCTCGTCCGTAGGGCCTTCCCTCGTGTATTTGCCACCATGGCCCTTCTTCGGATCATGCTTGAGTGGAAGCCCATCAGCTGGATGACGCTCCAGTCTCTTCACGCCTTTGTCGATCAATTTTTTCTCTATGTATTTGACGGTGTGTGGGTAACGAGCCTTCACTTCTGCATTTTCGATGTGGTGCTTTTCGTCTTCTTTAACTCGACATAAATTTTTGACAGTCACAGTTTCATTTTGCTCATTTGTACTCTCCATGTTCATCTGATTCTTGAGCCCAAGCCTGTGTTGCAAGGTGAATTGTAATGGCAGTAAAGGGATGAGGGTGAGTGTGTAAATATATATTAGGGATTGGAAGGTACCCGAAGGAGGTGGATGCCAGAAGGTTCGCGGGATTTGGCAAGTTGGCAACGTGTACACGTTTCTAGTAAGTTTCAGATGTGACTACACTTTTCTTCTGGTCAAATTATGCAGATATCTCTTCTAGTTTCTCTTAATTAAAAGAGCCGCCTCCTAGTTATTTATTTATTATTATACTACACTTTCTTCTATATATTTCACAGCTAATAATATTATAAAAATTTAATCAATATTCTAAAGTAACGACGAAATAAGTGATATAGTCAGTCTTAAAAAGTTTAATAGTTATAATTATAATAATATTATTGAATTATCTCTTAAGTTTTTAATTTAAGTCAAAATGTTTAGGTTCTAATACCTCTTTTTTACTGTTAGAGTCTAATACATTTACTCATTCTTAAGATAACACTCATCTGTGACAAGCTGAAGCTATATATTAGCCTAGTCTTTAGTTACCCTCCCTTTGTTTTGTTTGAAGAAAAATAGAAAGGAAAGAAAATAGAAAATAAAAAATGAGAAGTAAATAATAATTTTTGTATTATTTGGTATCGAAAGAAAATTGGGAGAAAAGAAAAATTAGATGGAAAAGCCAAAAAAAATGGGTCCCATTTTAGGCGGGAAGTTCACTATAAAATGGCGGCTTCCAATGAAAAAGATGTAATTACGAATTTGTCCATATTATGTTCTAAATGTATTCAAACTGAAAATGCTTCTGTTGTTGCACACCTTGTCCATTTGGCGAGACAATTTGCCACGTGCTCTCCATGTGAACATATAATATAATAGGGCTTTTTTTTTTATGAGCAATATTATAGAGACATATTAAAAGATCTAATTTAAAAGAGTAATGCTATTTGGACAAAAAATAGACAATATTTGCTGATTCTCAATATTACTGTTATTGATTTAACTGTGACTGATGGGTCCAGTCCAAGACCCAACTCAGGTTGTGGGCCCAACTTGAATAAAAAACCCACTTAGACAAAACCCAGTTGGTCCAGTCTAAAAGAGATTCACGCCTAGTTGCGCCCATTAAGGCACCAAGAGCTGCGTCGTCAAGAACCGGGTAGCGTCATCCCAAGAGTATCATCTATGCCACCTTGGAGTAGGGAGTAAGGAAGTCAATCATGTTATCCTAAAATCTGGTATTTAGGAGAGCTGCGCAATTGCCTCATCCATTGCGAGAATAGCGCCAGCTCCACAAAATTAGTTTTTTTGTTACTGATAAGCCAACCGAATCTGTTAGGAGACACATATAAACTATAAGCCCTGCCTACATATGGGGGGCATCGATTAGATCTTGCATCACTCTCATCTCTCTCTTATAGTTTGTACCTCACCTCAGTTCTCATTGCTCTTGTCTGATTTCCTTACACACCTACAACAATAAAACACAAAGGTCATCCTAGCTCTTCACAGTGGAGTAACTCACCTTAACTGAACCACTTAAATTGTGTGCTACTTATGTTGAGTTTTCTCTCTCTATTTTATTATCTGCATTAATTACTTGACAGGTAGTGTACAAAAATAATTTGTGCATCATCAATTTAACGTTGTATGTGAGGACGACAAAGTTTTCACTAAACCATCCTTTTTTGTATCTATGACAATCACCACTAGATCTATGAATCAGCCTGAGGATAATCCACCAAACAAGGAAGAGGTTGCCCCTCCACCAGCCAATCATCTTTCAAACCTACAGCAGATGCGAAAAACGATGTAGCAACTCGTAACCCAGAATCAACAAATCCTACAGTTGATGGTCACTGGACAAGGAGGTACGTAACCGAAAGAGCATCAAGTGAAGGGAGCACCAACAAGGTCCCCCTGTTGGGCTTCCCTTTAGGAGCCCCTTTGGGCGCCTCCTTTATGGGAGCCATGTAATTACCCATAAAAAAAAATTTATTTTATTTTGGTGCATTGCTACCTAGAAGTAATTATATATATAAGAATAAAAAATAATTTAAAGAAGACTAATGTGTCTCTAATAAAAGTCTTGTCTTAGAGAGACCTAGTAGGACTATTCTACATGTGTTTTAAATGTGGTAGTATCGTTGGATAGATCAAACCATTTATATATATATGTGTGTGTGTGTGTGTGTGTAGATATATTTAGATTTGATATGGTCTTTTAGCAAGAAGGTTTGTGAAGACATCTATCCAGCGGGAAAAAAAAGTGTGATTAAGATAAGTTTTCTTGTTACCCTAGATGTCCACTGATATATAGATGTATATATTCTTTTTCCATAATTACACCTACATATACGTTAGAATAAGAGAAATGAGAGGAGAGGCAACGGTTTTGAGTATAAAAAAGGAAGAGTAAGAAAGAAGGGGATTTAAAGGGGAAGGAAGACAACTAGAAGATTTGATCATCAAGGTTAATCTTCATATTGAAATTAAATTATGTATTTAATCATTATATGTACACATATACAAGTTTGTAGTGTGATATATCTTGCAAGTAATCCATATGGACAGGTTTATAGGGTTAAAATATGTAAATTCAAACATAATGTGATAGGTATTTGTGTTAAGAAGATATTGAAAAAAAAGGGGAAGAAAGAAAAAGGTATAGACCAAAGCTTTTGGAATTCCGTAAGGTTGAAGAAGATGAAAATTTTGAAATTATGAAAACCTCCCCTTTAGTTTTAAATAGCTTTATTTTGACCCTTATACTTTTATAAACTCAATTTCGACGACCATGGAACTTAGTAATTTATAGAACTAATCTAATATGTTTGAAACAAATATTGTCATTTCAAAACAGTCCCCAAGAATTGAAAATTTTTTGAATTTTTGAAACGACTACTAAAACTTTTGATTAAGTGTTTAAAAATCAATGCTTACTCTAATAAATCAAATCGAGATTGTATTCTCAAAAAATGGGTTTCTAGAACCTTAAAAACTATTCTAAAAAATTTATGGCAGCCTCAAAAACATAAAATTCACTTTGACCCCCAAAATTTTAAAAATTATGATTTGACCTCAAAACTTTAGAAACTTTTTTCTAAACAGTCCAAAATACTTCTATATCCTATTACCTCGTATTAGGAAGAATATTTATATGTAAAAGATATATTAAGTAAATATCAGTAGATAAGAAGTACGTAAATTAAATATAGAATCGCGAAATGACGAAGTTAGAAATAGGGATTGATCGTTATGTGTTATTTTGAATTATGTGATGATTGCATTGAGGTTGAGAAAGAGGGCTTTGAATTGGATTTTGAGAATCAATGTGAGAAGTTTATTACTTCTTTTGAGAGGATGTTTGCATTTATTATGCATAGGATTGGTTGGTTAAGGCCTTGGTGGCCGGTCCGCCACCCACCATATGTGATCCGGGATGGTGTGTCAAGTTTGGTATCATAACATAGGTTTATGAATTACCAGAGGATTAAGTTAGATATGAATGGTTGTGTAGGCTTTAATCGATTTCAGTTCGAGGGATACATAATGATGTTAATAGTTAATAGAATGATTTGTGTAGTGACTAAAACTAGTTAATTTGCTTGGCATTTTGTACAAACAAGAGATAGTTGCAAAAAGAGATGATAAAGGTGTTGTGAGAAATGTGACTGACACTAATGAAATTTTAGGGTCTATACATTCTTCTGTGTCTCCTAGAGTAGAAGTGTGATTAGTTGTGGAACCCAAAACACTTGAGTTCGATTTGATAGTGGTAACTCCTACAGGTGGTTTTGAGTTAGGTGATATCGTATATCCAAAGTGTAAGGTCTATATTAGAGAACAATAGTTATTGCGTATTTTTAGACCTTAGGAATTTTGATATGATATTAATTATAGACTAGTTAGTCACACGACATACGAAAGTTGGTTATTTTGAAAAGAGAGTCATGTGAATTTAGTCTCGAGGGACAAGAATTATTTAATCCCCAGATTAAATCTATGAGTGCAAGCTCGAAAACAAGTGAGTAAAGATTTTTAGGAAAATATTGTTAGTATTATTGATACACGAAACGAGTTAGTGTCTCTTAAATAGATAACAATGAAAAGGGAATTTTCAAATTGCATGATTCTTGTTAAACTAGAGGAATTGGAATTCAATTGAAAATATATTAGACCGAATATTTATTCAACATAGCAATTTGTTGTGGGGAGCTCATGTAGGCAAAGAAAATAATGGGATTATGAAATGTATGTCGATTACTACCAGTTGAGTAAGATAACAATAAGCAGTAAATATCTTTTACATGATATTGATGATTTATTTGATCAGTTGTGAGGGGTTAAAGAATTTAGTAAGATTGACTTTAAGTTGAGTTATCATTATGATGATTGTTTAAAAATAGTCTGTGTAACTGGAATATTTACATTATTTTTTTGGTGAAGTCATTGAGATTGACAAATGCTACATCTATTTTGATGGATTGACTAAATTGAATATCTCAACTTTATCTAAATTCATATATTACTGTATTTATTGGTGTTACACCTGTGTATTATTGTAGTAAAGATGGAATTACCTTACTCATGATTTTGGGTTAGATGTAATTGCTTTTATTTTGAGGTTATGAAGAAATTGTTTATACAGAAAGACATGTGAGATTTATTTTGATTATTAAATGTTGAAAGATGTATTTACTGAGAATGAGTTTAATTTGATAAAAAGGAGATGGAAAATACTGGATATTAGTGTCTGACAGATTTATTACAACTTCTTTTAATTTTTGAATGGAAATGAAAGTATATTACTATGAAGTTTCTATAGGGACTTTTGAGATACAGATTGTGCATAAATCTATTTGGGTTGTTATGGAGTGATTGTCAAAGTCTGGTCAGTTTTGATAATTAAACTTAAAGCTTCACTTGAAGGTATATTCAGAGTTATTTGATCATAGTCTATGATTGTGTAGAATACCTTTATCTAATGTAATAGATAGAAGTCCAAAATTTACCTTCAGATTTGGCATAGTTTGCAACATGCTATGAATAACACTTTGGAATTTAGTATAATTTATGATTCTCAATTTAATGGGCAGTCTG